GGTTTTGATTTTATATGAGTTGTGATAGACAGATTGATTAAGTCTGCACATTTCATTCCAGTCAAGATGAGTTTCTCTACTGAGCAGTTGGCTCGATTATATGTAAAAGAGATTGTGAAACATAAACCCTTTGAATTTTATGAAGGGAATCATGTGTTTATTAGTTTGTCTCCGACTACAGGTTTGGGCGTGCTCTAGGTGTGAGGAAGTTGAGTCCTAGGTTCATAAGGCCCTACCAGATAATAAAGAGGGTCGGACCTGTGGCGTATCAGCTTGCCTTACCACCACATTTGTCTAATTTGCATGATGTTTTTTTTCGCATCAGTCAACTTTGTAGATATGTATCTGATGTGTCCCACATTGTCCAGCAGGACGATAATGAGGTAAAGTAAGATTTGAAGTTTGTTCCGGGACTACTGAAAGTTCTGGTTCGCGATGAAAAAGTATTAAGGAACATGGTTATTCTTATGGTTAAGATACAATGGAAAGTTTGACTTCTGAGGACGCTATTTGAGAGCGAGAGAATGATATTCTCCAGCATTATCCTGAGCTTGACGTCAGGTATATGTTATGTCTTAAGTTTGATTTTGTGGGCAAAATCCTTAAAAGGTGGGGTGAATATAATAACCCTCACTAGTAGTTGTGGATTTAATTTTGAAGAATAATTAGAAGTAAAAGAAATAAAGTCACCTTAGGTGAAAAATGAGTTAAAATGGCAGTTAAGGGGTAAAAATGCGGATAAACAAAGTTACCCGAAAAGTGAAAGTAAAGTTAAAAATATGACTAGAAAAATATTCTAGTCCATTTGGTAAAGTTTAGTAATGAATGGAGGTGTGTAGATAGATAAACTTTTACGCAGTTGAATTTAACTTGACCTATATAAGTTAAATTTCAAAACAATGCACTCTTCCTTCTTCTTTCTTCACGCCGTCGACAGAGAGGGAGAGAAGAGAATGGGTTTTTGATCTCAAATCTTCCATAGCTCATAACTTGAGCTAGAGACCTCCAAATCACTTCGTTCCAAAGTCAAACTTGTGAGAAATTTCGAGAGGAATCCATTGGTACTAGTATTTCTGGGTGGGTTTCACTGTAGAGAGAGATCTCCTCCTCCAAAGATTTCGAATTTCATGGAAAAGATGGATTTTGATGGAGCTTGAGGCCATGGGAGCTTAGATACTCATATCTCCTTTGTTTTAGAGTGCATTGTGGTAAGAAATTCCCTTCCTTTTCATGAAGATTGAATTTATGGTTTCATTTTGAAAATTTGGTTTGATTGAGCATGTTAGAGCTTGATTCAGGTTTAGCTCATGTTGAGAAAAGTGTTTAGATGAGAATTTTAACGGTGAAAATGTATCTAAAAAATTAAAGATACCATATTTTTGAATAGTGTTGTATACGTGAATAGTGACGTATACATGAATAGTATTGTAGAGATGAACAATACCGTATATATATATATATGAATTAATGAATCTTGGATTAGAGGTGTGTGATAAGCTTGAATTTGATGGACTAAAGCATTGGAATCATGAAGTTGGCATGAATTTCTTTATGTGCCTCTTAGCCATTTACAAAGGAAGTATGTGCTATGAGTTGCTGTTTTACAAATCGAGCATACTTTTATGCGTGGAATAATATTCTAAGGTGTATGGACCTTCGCTTTGGTGAAATAAAAAAGAAAATAAGGTAGCTCCTTTGTATGACCATAAAATAAGTTTTAGCCATTTTCAAAGGAGGTATATGTTCGGAGATATTATTTCGCAAAGTGAGAACACTTATACGCGTAAAATAATTTATATAGGTGGCTAAGCTTGGGTTTAGGCACTAGACAAAGAGAAATCTTATAGCTCCATTGTAATGGGCATTCTGCCTTAAGTTGGGACTATCCTAAGACTAAGTGAATATGTGAAATTTTGTGGGGATTTATTGAACAAAGAACCACCCACTCATGACTTAATATGATTAAGTAAAAAGAAAATAAACAATAAAGTGTGTGTCTTGTATATTTACATGGCATTATATCATTTTATTGAGTTTTGTGTTGAATTCCTTCTCTAGGTGTACCTAGGGACTGTGAACGTTTGGATTCTCGTGGAGCATGATAAGTAGCTTGTTCTTTAAGAAAGCAAATTGTAAAGCTCCAAGAGGTAAGCTCTATGTTTATGGGGTTCGCTCCTACTTTGTGTTCCGCCATAGTGTACGGACTGTGGTCAGGTTGTATGATATGTATGAGATATATGATATAGATGCATTCATATAGAGCTATATGATAATATGATATGTTTTGTTATGATATGACTTCTGTAATATGATTTCTGTAACAATATCTAGCCATTGATTGTATAGTACCCGGATGTTCGCTTTGGGGTCCTCCCTCGGGACTGATGGTGTACGCCTCTGATATGTTCTGGTTCCGCTTTGGGGTCCTCCCTCGGGAACACGTGCGTTGATTTCCGCTTGGGGTCCTCCCTTGGGAATGACTGCGTACGCCTCTGATATGTTCTGGTTCTGCTTTGGGGTCCTCCCTCGGGAACACGTGCGTTGATTTCCGCTTGGGGTCCTCCCTTGGGAATGACTGCGTACGCCTCTGATATATTCTGGTTCCGCTTGGGGTCCTCCCTTGGGAACACGTGCGTTGATTTCTGCTTGGGGTCCTCCCTTGGGAATATCTGCGTACGTTTCTGATAAGATATGTGTATATGTTTTGTTTAGTTATGATATTTGATTATATGACATGTTTTATGGGATATGAATGATGATTTTGTAAATGATATTTGTTACGTACGTTGATTTCCGCTTGGGGTCATCCCTTGGGAACGATTGCGTACGTCTCTGATATAACACGTTTTGTTCTGATGTGAGTATTGTGATGATTTTTGTAAAAGATATTTGTTACGTGCGTTGATTTTTGCTTGGGGTCATCCCTTGGGAACGATTGCGTACGTCTCTGATATAACACGTTTTGTTCTGATGTGAGTATTGTGATGATTTTTGTAAAAGATATTTGTTACGTGCGTTGATTTTTGCTTGGGGTCATCCCTTGGGAACGATTGCGTACGTCTCTGATATAACACGTTTTGTTCTGATGTGAGTATTGTGATGATTTTTGTAAAAGATATTTGTTACGTGCGTTGATTTTCGCTTGGGGTCATCCCTTGGGAATGACTGCGTTTGTCTTTGATAAGATATGTATATATGCTTTGTTCAGTTATGATAATTGCTTATATGATGTTTTGTATATTATGTATCTGACTGTCATGCAGGAAGTGAGCCCAGGGTATGGAGGGTTTTCCATAAACCTGGAGTTTACTAGAGATTCGTTTCTAACCCCGTTTGGGGATATGATTTCAGGAACACAATTAATTGAAGAGCCTCACGGGACAAGGACACTAACCGTGGCTAGAGGTACTAGTATGAGGATGTGGAGTTCTGGGTGGTCGGATGCTACTATTTGTTTTAGACGTATTTTTGGAAAAGATGTATTGTTGCATAGTGTTCATATTCGATACATGTACATTTATGTATTCAGGCATGATGATATGACTATGTAGTATTCAGTTATGTTATGTATTGGATTGCATGCTATTAGATTTATGGCACGGAGCCAAGTTCAGCATGCGCCCATAGATGGGTATCTGAGTATATTTGCATGACTGGTACTTCTGGAAATATATATTGTTTAAACTGTCTATCAGGAACTCTTGAAAGTGGGATTGGAAAATCCCCAGTTGTCCGATTTACAGAGGTTACTCTGTCCGATTTTCGTCTCCGTAAAATAAGAATTAAATTAGAAGAAGTATGCAATGTGATATGTCATGTGAAAAAGGATTAAAGAAAAAGAAAAAGTTAGTTCGTATTTTCGTAAGTTAAGTCTTCCGCTGTTTCTGTTAAGTATCATATGCATGTTAATTGAACCGGCTCGAGGCTGGGGATGTTACAAGGGTGATGTTGTTATATGGATTGTACCTCTAGCTGAGGTAAAGACCAGGCTAGAAGATATTATTCCAAGAACAAGTAAGCAGATATCAATGACAGACAAATAGTAAGGTATGACTTAAGAGTAAATGAGCATAATAACAGTACATAAAAGATGAAGATCCTGCTGTGCCCATGAGGGCTATTTATAAGGAAAATGGTGTGGGTTGGTGAGGTGGGGGTCAACCCTCCTTGGGATGTGCTCCCTTGATGGCTGTGTTAGGCGTGGTTGGCGCTGCCACAATGGCAGTGCTGCAACCACTGCACCTGGCGATGTCAGCACTGAGCAAAATGGCAGATTCCTTTGCAGTGCTTATGGCGACTGCCTTTAGCGGTTAATGTCCCAAAGTGGGACATTTTGGTGTATCTCTTGGACGTGCTGCAGTCTTGGAGATCGTGAGGGTCCACGTCAGCCCTAAGGGCTAACGCGGAACAAGGCTGAGGATTGGGCCTGAGCAACTGGGCCGCTCCAGAGCTTGGGCCATCCGGAACAATTACATTGATCATTTTACATTAATATCTCTAACGAAACAACTATAATATATTTGCATTTCGCTTTTTCGATGATAGTTCTAGCAAAGGTATTTATGTTTAAAAGCGACTTGGCTGTCCAATGCAAGACGATTCACGTAAATATTATAACCAAACTCTATAAAAGCAGTGCAGCTACACTATCAATGTACAAGATTTACTGTCTCATACTGTTATTCATATGTAATCCACCATACCTAAAAGGTTTGGAATAAATTACTCCTACTTCCCAAAAACACATTGCATTTACAAAAACAAAGCATGACATAACATAAATCCCCTAATACATGTTGCCATCAGTTTGCACACAATGACAACCCAAACATGGTGCATTATGATCTAAGTTCAAAGGACAACTCTTCACGGACTGATAAAATCTCTTCCCTTTTCATTTGTGCATCACTTACTGCACAAATGAAGGATTCCTTTGCTGGTAAAAATATATCCTTTGGATAAATACTGACAAGTTCAAAATAAAAGCAGCTTTCAACACTCTAAAAGAAATAATCTAGGTGCTGATTCTCCCTTGAACCTCCTTGTCCATATAAATCATTCCACTGTTTCAGCTCCTTCATTGTGGATCCTTCTGCATCAAAACTTGCAGCCACCTGCATTTTAACACATACATCTATCAATTTCTAAATAGAAAATAAGTATTCATCTGGCAGAAGACAAGGCTTTCAATCTTCCATATGGGTGACATTGTTAAAAAATTAAGCTTGAAATCCTTGACAGAATGTGTAATATGAAATTTACATGAAAAACAAAAAAAAAAGACCACTAAACCAGTTTATCGTGTCCTAGAAGTGATAAAAAATTATTAGATTTACTTTATTTCAGTATCTTATCAGGATATGTGCAGCCATTTTGACCATTCGTAACAAATAAATTTATTCCTACAAAAGGCACAAGGTAACAGATAATTGATGAATAGAAAGCAGGGTAAATTAAAATTTATATAGTAACCCCAAAGGAGAATGTTTGATTGCTAATATATGATATAACTGCAACTTTTGCTTACTAAAATATCCTCAAGCCAATGTCACTCACCCAAATGTCAGATAACTGTCTTTCAATTCCGTTGAATCACTTCTTAGAATTCCTCAATAGTAAGGAGATTATTTAAAATATAAACCATACAGTGCCATGTAAAAACACCCAAATCAAGTACTCTATAGCCATTGGTGTGAATGATTTTCAATCGTACATACCTGATTCGTTGCCTGTCTCATATCTTCCATGTTTATAGGCCTCAGGGTAATCACTTTGTCTTCTTTACTTTTTGTAGCATTGGAAGCATCTTCTGAGCTTTGAACTTTTGCCTCCTTTTTCTTCTTTTCCTGAAATAAGATGCAATGGTTAACCCTTTTTGCACAGAAAATAACAATAACGCATTAGTTGGAGCTCATTTTAACAGTCAAATTAATAGAAGTGATTGGTAACTACCATTTCCTTCAACCTCTCCTGCTGTATTAGCTCCCTAACTGGTCGATAAGCAGCAGTCGAGCACAAATTCTGTTTCTAAAAAATAATGTCAATAGACCATCACAACAAAATAGAAGTAATGAACCAGAGTAACCGGGAAAATGAACCTTAAGATCACTTCCACTATATCCTTGTGTCATGGTTGAAAGCTCTTTGAAGTCTATATTTTCATGTTTTTCCTTAGCCAGGAGAGTTTTCAATATCATTTCCCTGTTTTCAGTAGATGGAAGACCAACCATGATCCTGCTCAATATTGCAATGAACAGAGATGTCATTCATAAATCTCAAACACAAGAGCTTTTGATGTATCCAAAAACCAAGCAGTGCAATGATATAGCTAAGAGATGCTTTAGCCAGTGCTCAAAATTAAGGAGTGCTATTCTTGCATAGTTGAAAACTGCATAAGATTTTATCAAATCCAAGGAAGACATCAAGTATACTCAATCTAGAGAACAATTTCAACATATTTTCAAAAGTGGACTTTTCAAAAAGGAAATTAAAGTTTAAATTTTTGGCCATATTTTAAAAAAACTTGAAATCTCTATCATAAACTTTCTGGTTTTCTTATGAGCACCACCATAATGAAGATAAGGCTACTCATTGTTCTAATTAAAAAAATAAAAAATATTGCAACTGAACATCCCCTTTGTAATTATGCAAGGATAAGACTGCGTACAAGGACTATCCTCACCCCACCCGCGCTAGTCAAGGTTTTAAAGAGAGTGGTTTTCTATTGAAATTGAACAGAAGCAACAAATGATCATGCCAACCATAAGACAAAAGTGTGGTCGTACCTGTGCTCAAACCGCCTTATAATTGCTTCATCAAGATCAAATGGCCTATTGGTTGCAGCAAGAACCAAAATTTGCTCACCAGGTTTTGTCAATAACCCATCCCAGTGGATCATGAATTCATTTGTAATACTTCTCATTGCCTCATTCTCTCCAGCTCTAGTCCGTTGCCCAAGCATGCTATCAACCTCATCAATAAAAATAATAGTTGGGGCAACCTTTGCTGCCACTGTAAACAAAGCTCGGACATTCTTTTCAGCTCCTCCAAACCATTTTGCAGTGATGGTGGACATTGAGATGCTTATGAAACTTGCTCCGGATTCATTTGCAATTGCCTTTGCAAGCATTGTTTTTCCTGTACCAGGCGGTCCGAAAAGCAATAAACCTTTACAAGGCTTCAAAAGACCACCTTTGAATAGGTCTGGTCTTCTAAGGGGAAGCATGACCACTTCTTCAAGTGATTCTTTAATATCATCCAATGCACCAATATCTGCAAATGTAACTACAATCTCATTTGCAGCTATGACCTCTGGTCTTATGCACTTCTCAAACTCATTGTCAAGAGGAAACTCCTATAAGCATGCATAAGTTTACGATAAGACAAGATGAATAAAAATTCAGAAAACACGATAGGCTTATCTAATGAGAAATTTTGATCATACAGCTTTTTTTGCAGGAGCATTATGCTCGCGGAATCTCTTTGTTGCAGGCACATCTTTTTTTGCACTGGCAATATATTCTCCTGCAGCATTCTAACAATAAAGAAAAAAAACCACAATGTTTAGTATAGTAAGCAATCTCTTATCATGCTTTTTTTGTGTTATTCCTGTGATGAACCACTATGCTCTAGCTGATAAAGTAAATGTAAACAAACCTTGTTTGATTCATTAGGCTTCATAATATCCGTCCCGCTACTGTTGCCTTCCTGAAACAACCTCAATACATGGGCCAAACTGACCACTATCGATATTAGTAACTAGAAAACCTTTTCTCTTAATGAATTACTTAAACAACCATTGGTCAAGATATTTATGTAGAAAATCAGAATTCAAATTCAAATATTTTTCCGTTTTTATTTCCTATTAATTAGGAATAATTAAGATTAATTAGGATTGAATGTTTTTTATTTCCTATTAATTAGGATTAATTGTAATTAATTAGAATTAATTATGATTAGATTTAGAGAGTCATAGCTGATTCATTCTTATGATTGTAATTAGGTTTGGTGAGTCATAACTGAGTCATGCTTAGCTATTTTTTCTTGTATAAATACTCCTCATTCCTTATGTAATTATTCAATATCGATATACTGAAAACCTTTTTCAATATGGTATCAGAGCAGGTTGGTCCTGAGAAAACTCATCCACCACAACCACCGTCAATCTCTTTTATCTTGTCTTACCCACACCTTTCCTTCTTTCCGGGCTCATTCTTCCCTTCCTCCCAAGTTATTTGGCTGTGTGGCTTTTGTACATGTTCCTCCCCATCAAAGGTCCAAGCTCGATCCTAAGTCCATTAAATGTGTCTTCATAGGATATCCTCCTAACCAAAAGGGCGACAAGTGTTACTCATCTTCACTTCGTAAGGTCTTTGTTTCTATGGATGTCACATTTGATGAGAGACAATCTTTTTTTCCTTCGACTTCTCTTCAGGGGGAGTCTATTGGGGTTGATGAAGATAAGTCTTAGAAACCAAATGATTCTGCTGTTTTTCCTTTGCTGTTGGAGACAGGGGAAGTCATTATGCAAAAGACAGGGGGAGTTAATGTGTCAGATAATGGAGATCCTCCCGGGAAATGGGGAAAGTTTTACAGCATGCGAGAATCACCTCAGGAGCCTCTAGCCCATGGTATTTGTGAAGGAATTTGGTTAAGAAGACTCCTTGAGGAATTGAAGATCTCTTTTTCCCTACCTGTCAGAGTGTATTGTGATAATAAGGCTGCTGCCAGTATTGCTCAAAATCTAGTTCACCATGACAGAACAAAACATGTGGAGGTTGATCGCCATTTTATCAAAGAAAAAATAGATGATGGAAGTGTATGTATGGTGTATATTCCTACCAAAGAGCAGATTGCAGATATTCTCACTAAGGGCTTACACCGGCCAGCCTTTGAAGACTTGATTGGCAAGTTGGGAACGATCAACATTTACCTCCCAACTTGAGGGGGAGTGTAGAAAATCAGAATTCAAATTCAAATATTTTTCCGTTTTTATTTCCTATTAATTAGGAATAATTAAGATTAATTAGGATTGATTGTTTTTTATTTCCTATTAATTAGAATTAATTGTAATTAATTAGAATTAATTGTGATTAGGTTTAGTGAGTCATAGCTGAGTCATTCTTATGATTGTGATTAGGTTTGATGAGTCATAGCTGAGTCATGCTTAGCTATTTTTTCTTGTATAAATACTCCTCATTCCTCATGTAATTATTCAATATCGATATACTGAAAACCTTTTTCAATAATTTATTTACCTCTGAGCTGATATAACTAGCTTTCCATATCGGTATTCTTGATATCCGGTACTCATCAAATGGTACGTAATTGCAGATAACACAATCTCTTCAATATAATTACTGAGTAGCATAGTGTCAGACAAGAAGATTGTATTCAATTCATCACAATCAATGTCATTTGCTGCAAGTACTTCAGCAATGTGGTTTTTGGTATATTGAAACAAAAATCTTTTCTTGTCCTCTTCTAGTAGAGCTTTCCAGTTGCCAAGGTGAGTCTCATCTTCAGGTGGAATGATCTCAATGTTGTAAGGGAATAACAAAGTGAGCTTTTCATCAACTTCTTTACAATCATCTTCTGAATTAATGACCCGGGAACCGAGAATTAACACTGTCCCTGAAAGTTTCTTTATTAGCTTTTGGAGCAAATGGTACATTCTTGGTAATCGAACAAAGAGCTTGTCAACTTCCTTGATGTATAAAATGATAGAACCAGTTTCTGAGACAGAAACCAAGACCTGTAAAAATAACAATCATTTTTCTTATTAGAACTTAGAACTGTATTTGTGACACATGTATGCTGTGAAAGATTAACTAATATTTATTTTCAATGCAAAAATTTAAAGATATACTATGCTTGTACTGATGGAGGAACTTAAAGTCTTAAAAGTAATTAACCAAAAGCAGAGAGAGGGAGTATTGCGGAGAGCCAGACTTGGGGTGAAGAAAGCCATGTTAATAAATTCATTATACATATCTTACTGAAATTTCGTCAACTGTACTAATGTTATTCCTTGATATAATATAAATTTTAGCCTTAAAAATAAGGTTTCGGTGATGAAATAACCTTGTAAAGTGACTGCATAAAGAGCTTTTCATCAAAACAGATGCGGCTTGTGCAGTTCAAAGGAGCTGAAAACAAAACTAAGCAGTAATCAAAATCTTGTAGAGGAATTTCTGAACTGATGCATTACCAACAACAAAGTAAAGCATCAAGCATGTAGCTGAATGAAATTTAATGGAGTTAACGCAAGAAACGTGTCTTAAGAACATGAATATTGATGTAGGGAACTAGTTCTTCTTACAAATATATAATTGCTAAGAAAATCCTACTGAATAAAACTAGCTACGCTCTTCACCTTCAAAGAATTAAGTAACATATAAAGAATTATGTTGTCAAGAAGCATAAATAGCACACTACAGAATTAAAATATGATAAAATCAATGGGTGGGAAAGATGACTAGGCCCAAAAACTTGCGTAACAAGGTAACTTAAAAGTTTTAAACATGACTCTAATAAATATAAAGTTATAAAGACAAAGTTACAGAAAATAAGTCTTGAGAATAATAACTACGAAAATTTTCCTTTCAAGTATAACGTGGATCTGATTGACCATGTTGGGAATTGCTACTCATATTAGATGCAGGAGAGGCATTCCTACGAAGCTTTGGAGGATTATTGGAATTTTCAATTCGACTACTTTGCCTACTTAGAGTACCTTCATAAAGATTATCAATCAAGATATATTGACGTAATAGTTACATATGCAAATTAGTAACATCTAGGTAAAGGTCAAGAACCGGAAGATATCAATCAATACAAATTCAGAAAAAATGAAATGATACAGATGCACACATGGCTTCTGCAATGTAATGACTATGATCTCCGAGATATTAACAGTGAAACTGAACACAATGCATTACCAAATGTTAAAGCAATAGATACATTATCAAACCATTTATTATTTTAAAAATGTGGACAACTATAAAATAGGAAACATCATATTCAAAAAGCTTGAGTGCTACTTCTTCCAGTACCTCTAGTTTCGCCGGTTGAAGGGAGGATTGACGAAGAACCAAACGAACCAGACATTCGTTCCAAGTTCACCTCAGATATGGACATTTTAAAATACTATACACATAAGCAAATGAGTTAGAAAAATCTCTCGATCATCCAACAACTAAATTTTTGCACTGTTCTTTAAAAGTAAATATGAAATTAAGGGACCTAACAAAGGTGCACTTCAGTTTAGGGAAAAGTTAAAAATGATAGAAAAAACCAGTTCACCACAGTACTGGTTACAATGATCGCACACACGATTAACAAATTTAAAATATACATTTGGGGAAAAGCAAAGTGAGAAAAATAGATTAATATGGGGAAAAACAGTGAAGTATTTTCAGTTCTTAATGCATAGTAGATGCAAAATGTGGAGCAGACAAAACTTACTGGTTCTTTTCTAGAACATCCGTATTTTCTCTGCATCTGTAGGAAGAAAAACATGACAGGTATGAGTAAAAATATATCACAAATCAAAGGAAATAATGTGAGAAGATTAAATAACTACCTCTAAAGAGAAGTCCGTAATATCTAGCAACATTAACTTCGATTGAAAGTTATGTGCTAATGCTACGGAAAGCATATGGTGGTAAAGTTCTTCAAAAATCAAAAATACGACTAGTGTTAGTCATACGATTTGAAAAGAAAAATATTTATTTTGAAGGACAAGATTGAACTTGGACGTAATGTACCTGCATGTCCGGAAAGCAAAATAGCTCTGCTTGGTGGTGAAAGGTTCCTCATGTGCTTGTTAAAGTCTTGTTTTAAATAAATATTTCCAGCACTTGTCAACAAAACTCGGGTTTTGTCACTGTGATTTTAATCATCATACGGAAACATAAGATATGGTATGATCCGAGAGGAGGGTATTTAACGTGGTGTAAATTAAATTAAAAAGCAAGAAGCCAGAGTTTGAGTTCAATAGAATGCAAGATGCACCATCATAGATGAAATGATTTTTTTAATATGTCAGTAGTTAACAATCAATTATCATATTTTTATACATTGGAACTTCTAAATAGTTGGTATATTACAACTTGCTTTACCATGAACTAGACCACATAAGAGCAGCAAAACATATGGCGGAAATTAATATGAGAAAGGATGCACGTCATGCTACAAGACAAAAGTGCAGAAACATCTAATTAACAGGAACTTTCGAAGTTTTCACCACGAATTAAACCTATTGTTAGAGAATAATATAAATCACTAAAAAGACCCTCATCTAATAGCTTGAGCTTTTGAGTTGAATTGGTTCTTTACATGGTATCAAAAATCATTAATGTAACTTCACCCAACAGCTTAAGCTTTTGGGTGGTCGAATTGGTTCTTTACTATTATCAGAGCTTCAGTTACTACAAGGTCACAAGTTCAATCCTTACTGTCCCCCACTTTCGAGTGGAATTAAAAATAAAAAGCACAAGATAAAACCAAAAATATTGGGTATGTGCAATATCCACGCTTCAAGCCCAAAGGGCTCTTGCGTGAGGGGTGGGTTAGAAAATAATATAAATCATTAAAAAGACCCTTACCTAACACCTTGAGTTGGAGTGGTTCTTTACACCTATAAATTTTACCTAAATGCCCACACTTCCCAACATTCTTCATTCATATTCCGAGGACAAAAGTATGATATAAATGGAGGAAATCTTGCATATTCCAAGAGAATTGTACTTAACCAATTAGAACATATGTGACAAAGAAATTGAATTTGTATTAAACTTAACTTTGACACTGAATCAGGACCACGAGATACAATAATCATGGTCCATGCAAGAATCTCTCCTTTCAATATCAGGTGATATGACTTATATGACATTGAATGTGTAGCTTTATTCAAATTAAAGTTTATTCAAATATAAACTAAAAAGCTATAACAAGTGATGCGAAATAAGTCTAAAGATCCAAAAACAATGCACGCACCGATTCTAAATCAATTTTAGGTGCACTGGTTCCCTAATATTCTTATAACATCATGTATATCTTTCTTTCTTTCTTTTTTATTTGGATATCCACCCATTCATCAATTACGCTTATCCCGTTTGAGTATTATCTGATCCATTATAGGGGACGGTTCTCCCAAAACTATTTTTTTCATTAACAGTACTCGGTCGAGACATTTGGTTAGGGAGGAAGAAATTCTTTACCACTGTTGGGGACATTACATATTTCTTCCGCTTCTTATCTGTTTCTGATGCAATAAATATTCAAAATGCACAAATTTACGTTGAAAAGCCAAAAATAACCATGCCAACATAATATCATAGAAAATTTCGGGTAGAAAAATCTCAAAGAGGTGAGGAGAACATAACCTACTAAAAACCAAAAGTACATATGCCATAAGATTCATAGCAAATTGCCATGAAATTTACAAGTCAACTTGAAATAGATTCAAGTCTTGAAAACAATTTGACCCGCCAGGATCATTATACTAAGGAAAAAAATATATAAAAAGGTAAATCATATTTTGGGTTTTACGAGTGTTATGTTATATGACAAACATGTCTTTCCTACATATTCAAAAAGGTGTGAGATTCATTTGATTTTTTTTTCTCTGTTTTTTTAGTGGGATTCAACGATTCTTTGTGTTTATAACATGACACAAGATGTGTCATGTAACGTGATACTGTTAGCACCGAATTATATATGTTAATATTGTATTATTTTATGTTATTTAAATATCTTTGGGCTGTTTAATAAGTGACATTGCAGGTAAATGGGCCAAATGAAATTAAAAGGGCCCAAACTGAAAAAAAAAAAAAAAAAGTAAAAAGAGATGGTAAAAAAATAGAAAAGAATTTTTGGGTTTTCTTATATGTTTTATTTCAATTTTTACTTTCTGCTGAGAAAAGAAAAAGAGAAGAAGGCACGTGGGTCAAATTAGAAGGATCAATTGGAACCACTGGATGAAAGAAGAAGGGACGGCTACTGATGAAAGAAATATTTTAGTTTTTAGTTAACTTTTGTGTGGTTTGTAAACAGAGAATAGAGATTAGATTTTTAGATCAGAAACTTAGAAAAAATTTCAATCTTCGTTATTTCATTTTTTAGAAAACTATGTGCGTGTTCTTCACTTCCTGAGATCTTCAAGACCCATAATTTCAAGCACTGACAACGCTGGAAGAAAGGATCGAAGGAGGTGCATGCAGTTGAAGATTCAGAATCCTAGCTCTAGTTTAGGAATCGGTATTCTGTTGAACGATTATTTTGATTTTACTCTTTAATGCACGTTTTCTTTTTCTGATATCTTAGATTTTCTTTTTCTGAATATGGGTTTCTAGTTTCTTTCTTCTCTGGGTCTGTCAAAAATGAGTGGATGAATTTCTTTTGATGCTTTTACTTTTTAACTCAAGAAATGCAGGGGAATGGGACTTGAGTTTTTCAACAACAAAAAATTGGGAAATGAATTTTTGTTAAGTGTTAAATGAACTCTTTTGATTAGGAATAATCAAAGGTGATTTCTGATCTAATTTTCGAAGAAGGTGTGAGATTCATTTGATTTTTTTTCTCTGTTTTTTTTTAGTGATATTCAACGATCACACATCTTGTGTCATGTAACATGATACCCATAAAACCCTAATATTTTATATGTATTTCTACTGGGCAATGATCGCTACAGAAACATTGATGTCTAGCACATGAAATTTCAAGTGGTTTTCAAAGATTCTTAGTCAAAAAAAGAAAAGAAAAGAAAAACTGTCTTTCAAAAAAGAATCTATAAATTACCTTAAGTAATAAGGAAACTCATCAAATGTGCATGTGTAGTCCTTCACATCATTCAGCAGGTTCTCGAGCTCGTGCACAATCTGCTCTTCAGAAATCTCATCAGATTCAATATACCCTCCGAACCATTTTTGCACGCTCAATCCCAGCCCGACACCCAACCCAACCCCAAGACTCAATGCTGAAAATAGGACGCGCTTCTGTTCCATCACAACCCTTCTATATCAAAACAATACCTAACTTTGCTGAACAAGAAAAAGTTTGCTCTGCATTCGAAAAAAGAAAGAAAAAGTTTACTACTTCAACACACTGAAAATCTATTCTCACTAAAGGGTATCAAGATTGTTAAAGTTCATAGAATGTAGATGAAAGATTCATGGAGTTTGCAAGAATCAGAGAGATGGGGTTACAATATGTTTACAAAGCTTGTTGAAAACGAGGTTTGCGTGAAGTGAAGAATCTTGACAGGTAATGTCTACCCGGGTGTCTATATCTCAAGCTGTATATATAGTGTTACTTGTTACCCTTCCCAAAAAAAATTAATTCAAATATTACTAGTAAAACATATACTGTTAAAATCCAAATGATTTGATTTGATCTTATTTGATATCTTTCTACATTTGTATACTAATATTGATTTGATTTGCGCGTATTTAAATTAATTTATTTTATATTTAAAACAGTTCATGTTCAAAAAAAATTATGAGAGAGTTTTGAAAAATTATTTTCTTTCAAAATTAATCAAACCTAAATATATGAAAAAATCAAATACATAAATGATACAAGTACAACACACGAACTGCAAGAAGATTCTGTTATTTTCATCAACTTTTATATAATAAATTAGATACTTTCTTTTTCAATGAACCAGCTGTGGCTTCTTTTACATCAAGCAATTTTATTAATTATGTTTTTTTACTTCATATATTATCATTTTGAAAAAAAAAATATTTTTAAAATATCACTTCAGATATTTAGATTAATTTTTATAAATGTTTTAAAATTATATCATCCACTTACCTTATTTAAAAAATTTGAGTCTCGACCGAGACAGAACAAACACTGACAAAATAACTGAACTTATTCATATGTATTAAATTAGAGTCTCATTTATTGAATTTTTATTAAAATTTTAAATTTAATTTTTTAAAATTTATTATGCATATAATTATTAAAATTTTAAATTCTTGTTAATTTATGCTTTAAAAATGTTTTTTATATCTAAAAATAATTAATCTGATGACAGGGATTCCTGGCAGTTATTGAAGAATCAATAACTTATTTACAAATAAGTTCATATATCAATTGGCACCTGCCTTGTGTCTCTCTCCGCAAATTTCACATCTCTTATCTCAATAAATAAAATTTTAAATTTTTATTATGATGCAACATCAAAGTATGAAATTAAACCCGAAATTGGATTAATTGAATTAATCAGAGATATATAGAGACACCGATTAACATCTAAACAAGATTTGAGGTTTACCATGATGTAGATATGAAAAACTCAAAACGTCACTTCTGTTTTTTTTTTTTTTTTGCAATCAAAACGTAACTTTTAAGACATAAGGAAATAAAACATCCTCAGTGAAGAATCTTTATTACTAGAAGAGAGAATCTACATGTAACTACTATAAGGGGCTGTATTCGATTAGGATATTAAAAGATTTTTTTGAGATAAAAAATCTTTTAGATTTTAAAAGACTATTTAGAATTGGAGAGACTTTAAAGACTTTTTTACCATAAAAAATTCATAAGATTGGATTTTAGAGGATTTTAATAGAATTTGTAAGATTTGAAAGGATATTAATATGGATTTATAAGATTTTAAAAAATCATATAAATTTTTAACAAACATTCCAATTACAAGAGTAAATAAAAAAATAACAAAGAAATTCAATTATAATAATAAAAAAAGTAAAACCTAATATAATTTTCTCAATCAGTAAAATTCATGATAAAATTTTGTTTTAAATTTTTGCAATTAATCTTGTAAACCTTGGGATTTTTATTTTACGTGATGAGAGTTTTCTAACCATATATCATATGCATGTTGTAAGAACCCACACCGCTAAGTTAGAATTTTAAATAATTTAATTATGAATTTAGGAAATAATTCCATAATGGACTTTGGATAAATATGAAAAGGGCATAATAATTAATATTAAGTCACTTTTCTGAAGGAAAGTGCAAACACTGGGTATTTCACGGTATAAATGGATACCGGCGAAGTAACTTGGAAAATAGAAATAAAAATATGAATATTCCTAAAATAATATCTAGGTTAAGAATATCTAGTTTGTGGTAAAAATAATAAGCAGTGATGTCGGAACTAATATCGGCTATTTCGATGTATAAAACGCGTACTGGTGAAGTGTCTCTAAAAATTAATGTAAAAATATGATAATTCCTAGAAAAATATCTAGGTTAAGAATATGAAATTTCAGAGTTAAACGAAGAGCCAAACTAATTAAACTAATATTGTTATTTAAGTGTGTACCACTATAAATAGGTCGGCACTAAACTCTAAGTCAGGATGTCACACTCTCCTACGTAGATCATTTCACTCCTTCATGGCTGCCCAAATCTTTCTACCTCAACACCATCACTCCCTCTTCAAGAAAACCATCAAGTGATCACATTTCTTCTTGCGTTCTTCACCAAAACACCATTGATGCTTGTGAACAAGTTTTATGTGGAAGAAAAACCATTTCTTGAGGGTTTGAGTTTCTGTTAGCATAGAATTAGGGGTTGTCCATCATCTTTGAAGGAGTTAGAGCTTATTACACCTTCCTTGAAGTTCTAAGGAGCAACCTTGTGAAGAAAAAAATCGAGTTTGAGGGCTGTAAATTTGTGCACCTAGTAGGGCAGAACCAAAGGGTAGCTTTGTGACCTTGGAAGCACTCAATTTCTCTATTTTTGGAGCTTGGGTACCTTCTACACCTTTTCTTCCTTAAGTTTTCATAGCAAGAAGTAACCTTTAAGCATGTAACAAGAGAAAGCTAGGTAACGTAAGTTTAAACTAGCAAGAACACACTTAAATATGCATGTTTGAACCCCTGTTTATGTTAAAAATCAAAGCTTGGATAGATATCTTCGCGAAAATGCAAAACTGCATGCTGTCGCGAAATATCTGGATATGATATCTGGATATGATATCCGGATATTGATATCCAGATATGGGCTGAAGGATATCCGGATATGTGACATCTGGATATAGGCCTAGGGATATCCGGATATATCCCCATGGAATATCCAGATATTCTAAGATTTTCGTGTTTTGGATTATTTTGTCCAAACAGAACAGTGTATAATGAATTAGGATCCTTTAATGGTTAATGTGAGCCTCTATAATATTTTAACTAAGTCAGAACCCAAGTAGGTGAATGCTTATGGCTTTGACAAAGGCCTGCAGGCATGAAACGAAAAAGAAAATGTTGTACAATTGAGATAAAATTCAGGATTCTAATTATTAATAATATTCTTGATATAAAACATATTGCAATTGTCGGATTGTGTGACTGTTGGTGTATCTGTGTACACCGAGCCTTTGGATAAGGATTTTGGCACCGCAGATAAGCTTTTGTGTCCTAGGTTTTACCCATTGATGGTTCCACCATACCTCATGGAAGGATGGTTTATATGCATGATGTGTTTTTCTGAAAATATATATTTATTAATTGAAGAATATTTGACATGTTGTTAAGCTCTTTTGTGAGTGCAAATGCCATATGTTATGTATGTGGGTTGTTCCACCCTAGACGGTAATCCATGAGTATGTGGGCCACATACAAGAAGGTAACCTTGTGGGTGAGGTACATGAGATGAGCCTTATATTATGGGTTGTAGACGTGCGTAATCCCTACCTTTTATTCTCTGGCCAGTAGGATGCATACACACATGATATAAACATATGTTGCATTGCACAGATATTTGCCATTATATTGTTGTTATCATTTTGAACTTATATTGTACATGTAAGTGAGCTTGGGGTAAAGAGATCCTTGAGGACCCCTTGCATTACTGAGATTTCTGTTAGAAATCTCACCCCGTGTGAGGTACATTTTCATGTACAAGTACTTCTGAGGCTGAGACCTCTAGTGGCAGGAGGCTAGAGTTAAATTGAGATGATGCATGCACCTTGTCATTTTATTATGATTTCTGTCTTGCTGTTATATATTAATGGCTATCGTACTTAAGTCATGATTTGACTATGTTGTCTTATTTGGTGAGCATGAAGGTTGTCCATGCCACATTTGAATAAGCTGTGTTTATTTTGTATTGGAGTTGTGTTATTGTATCATGATTTGTCTGGTCTACGTGTTGTAGTTCCATGACTTGATACCTTATTTATGTTAATGAGGTTATTCAGTTTAGTTATTTATTACAATTTACATACAGGCGATTTTTGGAAAATAATCACTAGATTCACTGAGTTAATATGATAAGACTCATAATATGAAATTTTAGCTTCCATATTTATTGAGCTGCGCTTATTACCATTACATGTTTAATACACCGGATGCACACGGGATGTTACACATGTTTTTATTGATTATTCCAAGAAAATTAGAATCTTGATTTCCGGGTTTTATTACATTAAAGTTTAGAAATATTCTCAAGTTATTTCAATCAATACATTGAAACCTTAAATTGCTTTGGGGCTTTTGAAAAATAAGTTTTTAGTGATCTATTGGCATAAAAATTGTTTGAAATTGTTTCCTATAGTGAAGGAATTTCTTTCAAGAATGTATTGTTATGAAACATAGGGTTCATATTATGAAAATTTCAATCTTTCTTTAAATCGATCTTGTATCATTGATGTAAAACAAAATTTGGTTTAGGGTTTTTGTTCCCCGTAATTTTTCCATTGTTTTAAATACAAAAATCACATTATTTTGTGCCAAGAAAAATCGCGACCAATAGCTTGAAAAATTATTTTTATAATTTTCTAAAACTCTCAAAAATATGCTTTTTTGATATGGATTATATTAACATCTTGTTGGATTGTTGTTTTTAGGTTATTTTGTGATGAAAATCGCTCAAAAATCTGCTATTTTTGAGCTTTGATGAAACTCCCATGGCGGAACCCGATTTCGAGCGGGTCGACCCTCTAAAGGAAGAAGAAGACACTACAATAGAGAAATCTCAAGAAATCCTAAGATTGTGAGAGAGACATCCTATTTATATTTCTCACTAAAAGGTCTTACGAAATCCACACCAATAGAAAATCCATTAAAATCGTCAGATTTTTAAATACCACAAGATTGTTTTTTCTTTGTTTAAAATCCTAATTGAATACCAATGAATTTTTTTGTCCAAAAATAATCCATTAAAATGCTTTGAAATCCCAATCCAATAAACCCCTAAGAGATAAGTCAATAGAGGACAAAAATACCACGTGTCTGATTTAAATCCCATAAACCAGTTTTGTTTTCACACTTAATCGGTTAATAATAATGATAATATTAATAATAAATTAAAAAAAATAACTATATATATCTTTAATGGGAACTACATGAAATACGTAAAC